TAGTAATACATGACTAAAGCAAATAATTAAAACTTGCTGTTTAAAAATCACCAGGGGTTGCTAAGGTTGCATCTTTTCTTGATTTCACAGGAAGCTTTGTTTTAATAGAAGCTTTGAGGCTAGAAAAGTTTCCAATTTAACATAACTAACAAATACATAGTTTTCAAATAAGAGGGGGGAGCATGGAGCTGGCAGGGTATCAGTATTTTTGCTGTTGTCGGTAGAGCCTAACTAGTTACTATCTTAACCTTACAAATATTACTTTCTTTTTGTGTGTCTGTCTGTGTGTATGCCTGTATTTTGCAGTCCTTTTGCAGTTTAACTGGGTATACACATGAAATGTATGTAGATCCACAAAGGGAAATTTATAAAGTACTTGGCATGAAAAGAGGTGAAGGTAATAAAGTATCAGGTAAGAATCATTTTCTCACCTTATTTAGACTTACACAAACAAAACAAAAAAGCTCCGATAAAATAGTATGTTCGCAATGTAAAGAGAAAGTGAGTTGCCCACTAGCCTATCTCTCATAGGCTATATTTTGTGAAAACACTGGTAATCAGGAATCTCTAAACTATTCATAGCAGCTGTTCATTGTTGTTGTTTTTATATACTTTCGTATTTCTAGATAACAAGTGCTTTGTGGTTTTGTTTAGTTCGGAGCCCTCATGTGAAATCAAACACACTTCTGGGAAGTATTAGGAGTATATGGAGAGCAATGACTGGCCCAGCTTTTGATTTTCAAGGAGACCCTGCGCAGCAGGGAGGAGCTTTGATTATAGGCCCAGGTGAGCTGTTTAGTTTTGTGTGAAAGTTGCAACTGTCTACTTTGGCTGTTAGCTGCCATTTCACCCGCTGTCCCCGTGAGTCCCAAGGAGACAGTCTAGTGTTGAACTGCGCGATTTCTGTCACATGAAGAAATCTGCAAAGTGACATTGTGTAGTCCCATCTCCCTCAGAGGTGGCATAAAGCTGATCACAGTCGTGCAGAAGTTAATTGTAGTGCTGATGGAACAACTGGCTCAAAGTTTGGAGGGTTTTCTTGACATCGTGGTATTTGCGTACATTCTGCTTTCACGTTTGATTTGAAGTATTTAATATGGTTTCAGTAGTGAGGTAGAGCATGAGGGGGGAATTGCAACATGACAGTCATCACATGATTAGGAAACATCATGCTACAACAGATTTAAACTAGTTAGCTGCCTCAATGTTCCTTACTTCTTTAACATAATTAAAAAACCATTTGCCATTGTTTGAAATACAGTACATTGTGCAGTCTACAGAACTAGTACACATTTGTATGATAACTGGTAGGTAGTCAGAATGCTGCTTCGATTCACTTACATCTTTGAATAAATAAATATGTTATTCAATAATTTACATGTTATTCTCATTCCAGGCAATGAAGTTCATTTTTTGCACCTTGATAAAAACAGGCTGGATCATGTTCCCATTAATACAGTTTTGCAGCTGGCAGGAGTTAAAACAGTGAATTTCTCAAACAAACCCCAGATTATTGACATATGACACTGATGTAATATATACTTTTTTTTATAATTTGTGCTCTACAAGAACAGTTCTCCAGTGAATTCCAACAAGCCTTGTTTCTGTTATGTTTTTGTGGGATATCTGAAACCTTATGGAGAAAATCAGAGCATAGAATAAACTACCTGACACTAGAGATGGATACAAAAGTGCAATTTCCATTAAGTACAAGATAATAAAAACTAAAACACAACGGAGACTGATTGCAAAAAATCCTGGAGCTTATTATTGTCTCATCAAACAATTTTGCTAATATATTTTAAAAATCACTGTTCAAGGTGCACTAAAGCAAGAAATCAGATTTTTCTCAGGAAAAACTTGTGACTCTTGCCTTCAGCAGATCAACACTGGCTTTCAATCCAAGGCTTCTCAGCACTGTTTTAAAGCTTCCAGCACAGTATGACAATTTTGTATTGAAATACACCTTGAAAAGTCACAAGTTTGAACACCTGGACTTAAGCTTATGCCTACTTTAGCATCTGGCACTGGCAGAAGTTATGAAATACATTTCACAAATTCAAATAAATATTTAAAATACATCATCTTGTATTGTCTGCAGTTCTTTTGTGTGATACAAAAACATGGGTGTGTAATACCAGAGAGAGGTGTGTCTTAAATTTGTATCTGAACAGATAATTGGTTTTGGAGTAAGCCAAATTATTCTATTCCTATGAAGATTTGCAGCAGAATGTTCTTCCTTTGTATATATGTATTTTCTCTCAGAGCAAGAGGTTTCTGAATAAATTGTCCTTAGTTATTTCTGTCTTAGACAACTGAAGGAAGCATAAGAGCATTCTGGTTTGCAGTTCTGACGTATTTCATATTATCCATTTATCTACAAGTGTTTATGTTCAACATCTATTGCTTTCATTAAAGTAGACGTGCCCTCTTTCATCTAGGAGACACTTCTTTTTAGCAATTTGAAAAAAAAAAATTGTCCAAGATTTATAGAGGAGCATATCCTTCTCTGCAGTCTCTGATCTTTGACCTTCACTGTAAAATGCTACCATACATACATGTCTCAACTGCAAATTTTCTCCCCTTTTAAGCTTTAATGCAATTGTGAAATGGCATGATGTTTGTTCCTGCATCCATTAAGGTCACTGGCAGGCCCAGTGCAACGTCTGGAAAGCTTTACACCATCAAGAGCATGTGAAATTAAGTGCACTGCTCCTTGATGGAAAATAAAAGGCTTTCTTAAGAAACATAACAATACTAAACAATCTAATTTTATTAATGACACTATGCCTTAGCAGCTTACTCATTACACCTCTATTTTAATATTATGTGTTAAGAAGAAGGATATTATTAACGGAAAAATAGTGTTGTCAGTTCCTTGCTTTGACTAAACAGCACTCTGCTCAGGGCTAAAGGAAGTCATGTGCAGGCTCTGAGCCCCTGTGATTTCAGGGCTGGCCAGAGGTTTCCTCAAACTTGGCATACCAGACTGGGACAGGCAGATCAGGCTCACAGGGGAGTGAAGTCTGCTTTTCATGAACCACTGCCCCTACAGTCTCAAATAAGGAGCTGCCTCCTCCCTCCAGCACTCCCCCAGCTCAATATTTTTCAGCATGCCAGGAACTCTGGAATGCATCTGCCTCTCTGCCTCATGTTACTTATGCAACAGCCAAAAGCAGATTGGAAAACTGGTTGTATGTTTGTAAAACAAAGACAATAAACAAAAATTATTTTCAAAGCGAATGAATGACGAATACTTCGTTTATTTGTAGTGCTTTCATTCACCTGATAATCACAGCCGAGGACACTGATTTTCGTTCCACTTTTATTTTGCAGTTGTTCTTGGTGCTTCTGATTTTAAGAGAAGTGTTCTAGCTGTCTTCCTGCTTCTTTTGCTCTTAGTAGAATTAAAACAATATACAATGGTAATAGTTCTGTTGGTCCTACTAAGCACATTTAACAAAACTAACTGCAGCTAAAAGAACTATGGACTATTAAAAGAGATTGGAATTTATTAAACTGTAGTTTTAAAGCTCTTTAGCTTGAAGTCATCCAACCCTCGCTATTTTAATACTGACAGGAACCATATCACAACCTCTGTGCTATCCAGCAAAATCACTTCTTCAGAAAGACTCACAAACTGCAGACAAACAAAAGGAGGGAGGAAGAGAGAGGAAAATTCAGCAGAAAAGCTGAAGTGTCCTAATCAGGGCGTAGACCCGGCCTTTTGCATGTGGCCACGGCTTAAGAGAGTCTGCTGTGAGACAATGACTTCCACATTCATAATGAATTGGAACAACGATGGTGACATTCATCCTCGGGAGAATTTTCCAAAGTGCCAGAAGAATTTTAGGTCTCTGGTGTTATTCAGAAAGGATATTTTTTGAAAAGTCATGCAGTGAAAAGTGGCAACTAGTACGTTTCCAACAGGTTTTTCTCCATAAATATGCGCACCCAGCAGATGCTAGAATACTTTCTCAACGGCTTTCATCATGGCCAATTAGACCAGGAGGTGGGAAGGGAGTGGTTTTCAGGAGTTGTTACCTACTAGCTTGGTTTAGTGCTGCGGCAATAACTGCGTGTTTTAAAGTATCATTGTATCTGAGAAGCAAATTCAAACTCAGTTATTTAAACTTTTCCGATGAACCCATTTGCCGTTCAGACCCAGAAGCCTGCATGCACTGGGCTGTTTTCCCCTTGGCCTTACAAAGTACCACGTCCTCGGGCCACTCTTTCGGTACATGTGAGGAGGGGCACGGGGAGGGCTGCACGGCCCCAGGAGAAGGCAGTGCGAGCGCGGCCTGCTCGGGGGGGGCCAGCGGAGGGAGCCCCTCGGCCCGGGGGGGAGCCAGCGGAGACCCTCAGCACGGGGCGGGGCAGCGGAG